GGAGCCTGCAGCGACCCAGCCAGGCCTGACTCACCGCCAGCACCTTCAAAGGGCGATCACTTTCTTGTGGCTGCTGTCAAGCCGCCCACGTGGCCGACCCCGCGGGAGACCCCTCGTGGCGGGGGCACATGTCCCCCACTCCTTTGTCCACAGTGCCTCCAAGGCTGACCCCGGGGTAGGATCTAGCTTCCATGCCGGCCCACGTCCTTCCTCCCCTCCCTGGGCCCAGTCCTCTCAGCCCCACGCCTCAGCCACAGCTCCATCTCTCACGGCACCTCTGGCACTGTCGCTTGTGCCCCCTCACCCTCCAGCTTTGAAGCTTGGGGCCCTCGGCTCCCTGGCATCCCTTCTCAGAGCATTCTTTTGAAAACAAAGGCATTTTTACCTGGCATCCTTTCAAACGCAAAGACGACAGTGCAAGGACTGTACCAGTAGCCCGCAAGACCTCGGCGGTTCCCCTCTTGGGAGCTTTTCCCCACTCTTCCTTCTTTCATAATTTCTCCAAATACTTGTAGGACGCGCTGTCCACTGGCTCGCTTCTATGGATTTACCCGACTGCTAAAGAGTAGGTGTTCTGGAGAGAAAAGATTACATCCTTACCACACATGTACAGTACAGCAACCAGATAAATAGCACTACACTGAATAACCTAGAGATTCTGGAAGCCACCGATATGTCCAACAACAGATGAATGGATAAGGAAAATGTAGTGTTTATGCACACTGGAGTACTACTCTGCCATAAAGAAGGATAAACTTGAGTCATGTGTAGGAAAATGGGTGCACCCTGAGATCATAACGTTAAGTGAAATAAGTTAGACACACAAGCTTAAATAGTGCATGATTTCTCTTATATGAGAAACAAATTGTAAATATAGAGTAAAACAAAGACAAAATACTGCAATAGAAGGTAGGGAGATCTTTCTCAAAGGAAAAGAGGATCAAGCAATGGGAGGAGACAGAGGGAGGGGAGGAGAAAAGGAATTAAGGTGTGTTTGTGTACATGTTCTGACTCCATACGAGGAATATAAGCATTATGTACGGCACACATGGACTAATAAAAATATATTTTTTATATTTTATTAAAAATATATATTTTTAAAGTATATAGGAGGGCAGGGCCTGGTGGTGCACTTCCATGACCCGTGACCTTAAGAGGCTGAGGCAGGAGGATGGAGAGTTTGAGGCCAGTCTGGGCTACAACAGTGAGACAAAGGAAGGTAGGGAAGGAGAAAGCAGGAAGGAGGGAGGGAGAGAAGGAAATGGGTCGTGTAACATGACACCACTGTGTAGGAGAGATGTGAGGGCCTGGACTGGAGTGACTGCGGGTGGCGGGGTCCTGGACTCAGTCTTTCTCCATCTGATGCACAGGGAGGACCACACACATCCCCAGGTGATGTCCTGCCTCCTCCTCCCTAAATTCTTAACTTTTTGCACTCAAGTTGGAGGCCCCCAGGAGACTTACAGCCCAGAAAGACCAGAACCCCTGTGACCTCCAAGCTGTGAGTCCTGGGGCCTCCAGGGTTGTTCCTGTGTCCTCCCTGCCCTGAGCGTTGCAGTCTCTGCCTCTGGATTCTTTTCTTTCCCCGTTTCCTCTTTCCCGCCCCTCTGAGGCGGTTCCTCCAGCTCTTCCTTCCTGCTCTGTTCTCGGCGGCTCCCAGAGGAGGCCACGGTCCTTGCACACTTGGTTATACACTGGACTTGTGAGAGCACCGAGGTCATGGTCCCCGCACCTCCTTCCTGCCCCCCAACAGCCTGCTCCTCCCCAGCACTGCTTTCCCAGCAGGAAATTCTGCACCCCTCATTGCCCCCACACACCCGGAAAGTCTCATGTGCCCCCTACATGGCTGCGAACCCATCTGGCTTGAACTCCATCCCCTGGCTGCCCAGCTCTGAGGGCTGGACTGCTTGGGGGGCCTGGGCTCACCCGTGGGGCCCCTGCACCGTCGCCTGACCACCCTTTTCCTGGTTGAAATCCCAGCAGCACTCAAGGTCCTTTCCTTGCTCTGGAGAATGGATCCCGGACCCCGCAAATGTGTTCAAATGTGGGGCCTGGGAAGCATTTTCTGGGAAAGGGTTGCATCTGTCTTTGAAATGTTACAAGAATTTGTGTCAATCCTCCATCTCTCCCTAAAGATATGCAACAAGCCTGTGTGTGAAGGTTCCTGTTTCCACGGGGTCCAGGACCCCTTGCTTTCACCTCACAGGGCTTCCCAAGTCACCCCCGCTCCTTCCCTGGCCAGCTCCTGGCCGGCCCAGCGCCTCCCAGGGGAGGTGCTCCGGGTTCGGACCCAGAGGTGGTGTTGGCTGGGGGCGGAGGAGGCCCCGAAATCTGCACATTGACAAGCAGGAGAGTCTGATGAGAATTTCCAGGCCTGCAGAGTTTTCCAGAGTAGAATTCCTTTTTTTCAGGTATTCGCAACGACCCGCTGGGACCGGCTTTCGGGACGTCCAGTGTTAAAGCTTACGTGCTGGCTGGGCAGTAGCTGTGGGCTGTTCTGACGGTGGACGTGTTCCTACCAGCCCCGAGGCACGGCTAGCAAAGGTGGAAGCTGGGGCAGAACGCCCTCCTCTCGTAACCTGCGGCCTTGTCGCTCGCCCAGCTGTCCCGACTTGCGGCACCAAAGAGGTTATTTTCGCAAGCTTACTTTGCCCAGAGTGTGTGCTTGCTAAGCAGTACGCGAACAGGCGAATCGGCGTGGGGTGGGCGGGTCACGCACGGCTCAGGGTCGCCTCGGTGGCTGTGCGTGTTGTCCCCAGGTCTGGGAGCCCACATAAGGGTGCCAAGCTCGTCCGGTGAGTCCTGGCTTCTTACAACCCTACATCCTTTTAAAACAATGTTTATTTGTTCAAGTGTGAGTGGAGGGTACGGTTGTGCTCTCTTAGGCCGTTGGTTCACGCACACAACACGTCTGAGATCTGTTCTCATCCCCTTCCCGCCCTTGCCTCCATCTCTCCGCCCGCTTCCCCTCACAGGAGATCTCCCTGTTTCTGCCTTCTGCATTTCTCCGCCACGCCGGCCACAGCTTTTCACTGCATGAGAATTCAGAGTAGATTCGCTCTTCCCAGAAGCCAGCCGGGTCCCCTTCCGCACTGAGCACCTCCCTCTCAGCAAAGTGGGTCCCGGCCACATCCTCCCGGGAAGCAGCCCGTGGGAGGGAGGAGAGCAGACAGCTCCGGGGAGCGGAGGAGGGAGTGAGGAGCCAGGCAGCCCGACCCTGGGTGGGCGTCTGACTAGGAAAGTGGCATCGCTGGGCGCCGGCAGGGTGGGGATGGGGCTGTGGGCGGAGGCTCAGTCTACCTCCTCTAGGGCTGCTGTAGATGGCGGTTTCCGAGTGGAGTGGAAGGCTGGGGTACGGAGGAGCAGGGGCAACTGCAACTCCACAGGGAAGCCGACGGCTTCTGTCTACATGGCTGCGTGTCCCCTGGAGGTAACTCTCACACACACCACCTTAGGGGACGACTCTCCAGGCCTTCCAAGGCTGCTCCTTGTCCTTGCTCTGCCCGCTTAGGAGATTGCTCACTGGGCCAATCAGAAGATGTTCTTCGCAGTCCTTCATTTGCATGTGGGTACAGCCAATCAAAAGACACCATTTCTGATGCTTCATTTACATACAACAGAAAGCCAACCAAGCTTTTTGATGGGGCAGCTTGCACCAGGCATGACCAGAGTGAGTGTCTGATAGGACAGCTGTCCCCGTGCATGCCTTGTTTACACGGAAGAGAGGTGACTAGGGAATTTGGGGTACAAAAGACCCCTTCCCTTATCCTTGGCCACTGTGAGCCTTTTCACCCGCTCCTCTCACTTTGCAGAGCAGGATTCTTTTCTGCTTCAATAAAAGTACAGTTTTCTGTGTGCTGGGTTCAATTCGTTGTTTGAGACCCCACAGACCAGGAAAGAAGCTCCACGGCCTCTCCAAACGGTGACATTATCACTGGAGAATCACGGACATCGGTCCTCCTCTATTGGGCTCTGCCTCCTCGTGGGGACAGAAAATAGACGTACAAATTGGTCTACAGCCAGGAAGCTGTCCAGGAAGGCACCAGGCAGGCCCACAAGACCTGAGACTGGGAGGAAGTGAGTGGAGCCAGTTGGAAAGCCTGGAGGGCAGAGTAAAAGCACATGCAAAGGCCCTGGGGCACAAAGGACAAATTCCTTCTGAAAACCTGCATTGAGCAGAATTGAGCAAAGCAGGGAGGAGGGGAGCAAGCCAGTGATTTGTTCTTTGCAGCAAAAAGATGGGGCCAACTGATTTGTGTCATCTGTGAGGATGACACAGCCAGCCTGAAGTCTGGAGAGTGGAGTCTTTGCTAAGGGGATTGAAAAGCATGCTTTGGGGAAAATCTCTATAGCTGAAAACGAGTATTTGGCCTGGACAGGATACATTCTGCTTGAAGTTGATGACATAGGAGAGGGTCCCTTAGCCCAGAAGAGCTCACAAGAAGTCATTGTTGCATTTGCAATACTCATGGGATCCTCACCATAAGGTAGGAATCCTGAATAATTCCAGGGACACCGAGAGAAAGACAGAGGAGGGGTGCCCAGCGGGGTGGCATGCAGATCAGGTATTCAGTTACCATTTTATCCCTGTGAAAATTCCAGCACCGCCCACCTTTGCCAAAAACTGCTGAAAGATAATTCAAAGGGCGCCTCCAGACCCACAGACCCTCAGCTAGCAAGTTTTTGTCTTTATTACAATTGGAAAATGACCATGAGTCATGCTAATGAGGATAAATACAGATGACCCCCCATTAATTTCTATCTCTATTTCTATTTGGTTCTCGCTGTTGGCTTGGAACACTTGGAAGAAAATAAGTTCACCTCTCCTCTGTTTCTTTCTTCTTCTTTTTTTCCTGGTACTGGGAATCGAAATCAGGATCTCGCACTTTCGAAGCAGGCATGGGCCACTGAGCTAAATCCCCAGCCCTCGCTCTGGTTTTGAACTGGAGTCCACGGAGGGGTGGGGTATGCTCCATTGGAAACTTGTGAGATGCCAGCTAATTAGGAAAAAGTTCCTATAACCTGAGGCAATATGCGTGTAAAAGCAAACCAAAAATCTGGCCTGAAGAAGGTCCTTAAATGCATAATGTTTTAAAACTAAAACACTGTACACTTTCTTGATGAAAAGATAACCTGATTTAAGAGACAAAAGAATATAGGCAGAGACAGGGCACTACATTTAAGATTATTTTCCCCCTATCTGCCTTAAAAATATTTGTTGGAGGTAAGGGGGGTTGCGTTAGGGTGGAGTTCAGAAATGTGGAAGTGAATCTATTCCTGGGAATTTCTCCCAAGGAAATAGTTTGAACGATAATTTAACGATAACTTGATTAAACTCCCACACGTTTGTACACGTGCATAGGTGGGTGTGTACTACTTCGAGACCTGCAGTTCTCTGAGGGGCTGGAGTGTTCCACAGGGGTGGGGTGAGAAGGCTTGGAAATGGCTGAGGGCAAGGGGGGAAGGGAGGGAGGGAGGTGGTGCGTTGATACAAACAGGAGGTGAGGAGCAGATTCGGAGATATTTAGGGATCACTTAAATGTGTACAGGGAGGAGGAAGGAAGAGTCTAGAACGAGCTTCAGAGAGCAGATAGTAAAACGACCACAGGGAAGACAGGGATATCAGTGAGTTCTGTGTCCTCCGGCGTGGGGAGCTTGGCAGTTCTGTTCGGGGCATGAACAGCCAGAAATGATGACATCCACAAATGGAAAATGCAGGCCTGGGCTGAGGCAGGAAGGTGACTGGACAGAAATAAAAATAAAAACGTTTTCCAGAGAAGTCTGTAACGTCATCAGGGACTTCCTTCCTCCTCTGTCCAACTTGGTCATTACCCTGCTAAGTGTTTCAGAGGCTGTGCCTGAAGGTGCACATTCTCCACCCCCAACCCTGTGCTGGGATTGAGGCAGGAGATTAGGGCATAGCAAACAGGCTGGACAAATGGATGGAACCTGCCAACCAGAGAGACCAGGAGACACCGACCCAAGCCCTTACCTGGACCCAGTCAGAGAGTGCTGTCCTCAATCCTCCTCACTGGAACTCGGCAGGTTTTTGATAGGACAACCTGGTGAGGAGGTCTGCTCGGGGACTGAGGGACACAGAGATGGCCTCCACTAAGGTCTTGGCCCCTGGGTGTTCTCTTTCACACTGGCCGGTCTTGCCCAGCAGAGTGTACTTCTTTTCCTACTCTTAAGTAGTTTACGCTCACTCTGCAGAGCATGTTTTTTTCCCCTACCTTTAATAAATGCAAAATCTTGCTACATTTTGCACGTGTTTTGTCCAAATTTTTGTGCAGGACAAGAAGAACCCAGAAAGACTCTCTAGAAGGAGTCCCCAGACCCCAGGTAACAGGCTCAAATCTAGGGTCCTTTCACATGATCGGCACCGAGCTACACCCCAACTCTCTTCCCCTTTTCTTTCTCTACGTTAGACCCTGATTTTGTTTAAAAATATCATCAGAAAGTATATTTCTTTCCGAGTAATGCATCTTTATTTTAGGGGTAAAAAGCAAAAAACAGAAACCAAAAACCAGACAATTAAAAAGAAAAAAGAACTCAGAGCATTTGGAGGTGGATTAGATCTTTTCTACTCTCACACCTCCTGTGTCACCAGCACCTGACCAATGTCTACCACACACGTTCTTTTTCCAACAGCACTGGCTACAGTTAAGGTTAAATAATCACTGTGTTATTCCTTCTCCGCAAAACCAAGTGGTTTATTGAAGGTATCCACGTAATTGGATTTACCAAAATGAGATCAATTGGCAGCTAGTTTTACAATTTAGTTTTTCTCTTGTTATTATACCTTGGGAACAATCTTTACTTACTCATGTCTTAGTTTGTTTTCTGCTGCTGTAATAGAATCGCCCCAACTGGGTAGATTATAAACATGGAAGTTTGTCTGGCTCGTGATTCTGGATGCTGGAGAGTCCAAGAGCATGGTGGGAGCATGTGACAGGGCCCCTGGGCTGGGTCATCCCATGGCGGAAGGCAAGACGGCAAGCACACGGGGCCAAACATCCTCTGCATGGGGATCTCACTCCCACAGTAATGGGATGCATCCACCTCTGCATTCCATCACAATGGCAACTGTGTCCCAGCATGAGCATTGGAAGGACATTCACAGCGTGGCACCGTGACAGCCCGTACACTGCTGGCTGTTGTGTCCAACCAGATGACGAAGCCAAAGTTTATTTCCATCCCTTATTCTTGACGTGGAAACTACGTCCAAGCTTTCTCTAATCTTCTGCTTTAGATATTTTTATATACGTCTATGCCTGCTTGTTTGTCTTCTAAAATTGGAAGCAGAGGGTCAAAGACTATGCCAGATTTTCAGCTTTGGAAAGTGGAGGCTGGCGAGTTATCTTCCAAAACATCAGTTTATAGTTCCAAGTTTTTGCTTTTCTTTTGCTTTGATATCAGTCTTGCACATTGATGCTAGAAGGTTCAGAGAACACAGATAAGCAAAGAAAGAGAACGTGAGGCATCTGTGGTTCCAGCAGGTAAGCTTCCTGCCCTGCAGGAGAATTCTCCATCTGTTTAGTCTCTGCAGACACACTTGAGAGTTAAGAGTTCAGCTGAAGTCGCGCCCGGTCCAGTTACAAATTCCTCCTCCCTCACCTGCCTGCCCGTCCTGCCGTCTGTTCCCTGAGGCACCCAGACAGACTGCTGGTACCCCTCCCTCCTTGGCCCAAGGTTAATGGGTTCCAAGCCCTTTGCTACCGCAAGCTGGAGCCCGCTGGTGCTTGGTATGAGCACTGGCCCTGCCACTGTGAGCTGTCACCTCCCTCCTCCCAGCCTCAGTTTCTTCATCTGTAGGATGGGCTGATAGCACACCTGCCAGTTAGGGCCGCGGCTCTGACAGCACAGGTGAAGGTGCCAGCGGGTGCTTGGCGTCACCCACCGGTCATAAGGTGATCTCAGAGGGGAACTGGGGTCAGCCCTGCTGTCATCATCCTTACTGTCTTCGGCTGTCACTGACCACCCACCCCAGGTCAGCCCTTGAACGGCGCTGACAAGACCCCCGAAGAGCCTCCGCCAGGCCCGATCTCAGGGTGCCCAGGATGAGCACTGTACGGCCGTCTGGAGCAGAGCCCTGAGCTGTCCTCACTCAGCTTCTGGGGCCCCGGGAGGCTGGCTCCAGGGTGTAGCACCCGCCTGGCCCCTCGTGTACGGACCCTGTCCCCTCGTCCCTGCCAGCTGTCCCCAGGCTCCCCCCAGGTCCTTGTCTGCCTTCACATCCCCCTTGGCGGGGCCGCCTGCTCACACTGCCTGCTTTGGGTGTTCACTGTCCTGTTAACAGATGACATTTTTCTGGGATTCAGATGCACAAACGTTTAGCCGCGGGCCATGTGTTTCAGAGAGCGGTCACCTCTCCCCAGACTTGTTCTAAGCCACCTCGGACAGAGTCTCCAAGGCAGCCGTGCCTGTCACCCCCCCACACACACAGGTGCTGCGGGGCAGCCTTGCTCCCTGCCCCTGTCCCCTGGGCAGGGTAGTGCTGCTCTGCTCTGGAGAGGGGGCGGAGCTCTGGCCGGGCTCCCTGTCCCTCCTGGAGGCATGTGAAACGTCAAGTCAATCTGTTTCATCCCGTTCCCCATGACTAGCGCGGAAGTGGGCGGCTGACTGCTGGCCGCGAGCTCAGGAATGTCACGTCCCCGTCTGCTGTGCGTTCCCAGAAACACGGCACCTCCGCGGCTGCTGAAAGCAGGGGTGACTCAGAGTTCCCAGGCGGCCCAGGGCTCCCTGCGAAGTGTGGGTCGTCAGGACAGTGTCACCTCCTCCCCTGGGGCTGCTGTGGCCTTGGAGGTGCGGGGCAGCGTGGAGAGGTCCACTGTGGGGCTGGGTCAGGGCCAGGAGCCCGCTGCCTCTGTGCAGACTACTGGCTGTCCGGGTGTCTACAGAAGGGACATTTCGGGGAGGAAGCGAGGGCAGTGTCGGCCAGACCCAGCTCTGCCGCTCCTGCCTGTGGCCCCGGTGCTGTCCCCAGCTGGCTCCCACACTGTCGTCACCTCTGTCTTCCGTCGGGGGTCACAGGGCTCTGCTCCCACCCTGCTGTTCCTTCCAGGTCTTCACACTGCCTCCCTCCTCGTCCTCCAAATTAAAATTTTCCTAATAGAAAGACCTGGAAAAATTATTTCAAGGGCAAGAGTCTGGCAGCTGTCCTTGAGAATGAAGCACCAGCTTTGCCGGAGAGGAGCCACTTGCTTCTTCTGCCCACCTCCAGGCTCCCGGCTACCGAGCTATGAGCCATGGACCCTGCCAGTCTCCAGGCCGCACCGCAGAGGCCTCCTTGACCCTAGTCCCTGGTGCCCCAGCCCCAGGTCCCCTCTGGCTGGCTTGTCAGAGGTCACCCAAAGCACTGTGGGCCACGGGCGCCCCAAGCGTTGGTTCCATGCTCTTATTTCCAAACACGTGTTTACTCGCCAGGCAAGAAGAAAACCCCCATTTCTCAAGGTTGTTAATGGACATCTTCCCCCATCAGTGCTGGGCTGTGCCAAGGTGGGTTCTAGACGGCCCCAAGGTTCTCCCCAAGCCAAACTGGGTTCGCGCGGTCCAGGAGCCGGAAGGAAGCAGACAGGCACCACGTTCCCACCATCAGTCTCCCCCCCCACTTCCCACTCGCTGTTGCTCAAACCATCTCTGCCCTGTGGCAGTGGCAACTGCACAGGGGAAGCAGGCAGCGGCCGCGTTTCCTACACCGCCTGCCTGGGGCGGGGACGTGGAGCCACCACACGTGGGGTGCAGGGGCTCCCAGGCCCCGGGGCCTGTCCAGCTCCCTTCCTGCTGTGACAGTAGGAGCACCTGTGCACTCCGCCCTCTGCATCTGACATCCAGAGGAGCAGTAACAGCTCCAGGTCACAGCCGTGATCAGGACCGGGCTGCATCTTTCTCCCGGGTGCCCAGCACTGGCCGCGGCCTCGTGGCCACAAGGGCTGCTTCCCGCTGTGGGGCCCCATCCGACAGCCTCGGGCCTCAGGTCTTGCACTGCGGTCTCTCAGGGCTCCACCGGGACGGTGCTGAGGTCAGTAGAGGGCAGGGGGCCGGAGTCACGGTGAGCTCAGCAAGACACAGGGAGAAGCAGCACCCAGGTCCTCAGACGAGGATGCATTTGCGGTCAAACCTGTACACACCAGATGGAAGCCTCAGATGAGGGCAGCAGGGCCCGGGGCATTCTCTCCCGCTTCTGTCGGGACTGCGGGGCCAAGGTAATGCCACCGTATGGTATCAGGGCTGCGGCGTCGCTCAGGTGGGGTGCTTTCCTGGTGTTCGCAGGCCCTGCGTTTGATCTCTAGCACTGAAAGAAAAAGAAAGCAGTGTGGTGTGGTGGTGCGCATCTATAGTCCCAGTGCTTGAGGAGGCTGGGGTAGGAAGACTGCAAGTTCAAGCACAGCCAGGACAACTGACCTTGAGAGCCTGTCTCCCAAAAAAAGGGGACAGGTGTAACTCAGAGCAAAAACCCTGTGTCTAACCCCCAGTATGAAAGAAAGGAGAGAGAAAGAGAGCGAGCTCAACCTTTGCAACACCAGGAAAGTCAGTCTATACCCATGTTCCTACCCCACCCGGAGACTGGGTGACCCCTCCAGGCTGCAGGGCGAGTGGCTGACACTTCAGCCCACCCTCTCCCCAAATGTGACTCCATCACAGAGGTCTGAGGGGCTGCCCACTCCAGCCTGGCCTCTTTGCCATGCCAAGGCAGACAGGAAGACCCTGTGGGCCCGGGGGAACCCCGCCCTGGGACTTGAAGGCTCCTCGACAGCTGCCTTGAGCCCCTGTGTAGCGTTTTCTCTGACTCTGTGATTCACAAGTCAAGTCCTGGGGGACTTGGGAGCTGGTGCAGATTTGGGGGGCGGTGCTCCAGGAGCACCAGGGTTGGGTTTCTGGAGTTGCAGGGTGGAATTCAGGCCTTGGAGAATCTCCATATCCCAGGGGGCACCCCGTGAAATGGCAAATAAAAAGATCATGACAGATTGAGAGAAAGAGACCCTGGAGGAAAAGAAAATGCCTTCCTCCTGCTTTGGCAGCAAAGTCAGAGCTGCTCTGCCTTGGGCCGCGTCCTTCCTTGAGGTGACACCTCATTTCTAGCCCGGCTGACTCGAGTCCTACATTTTAGGGCTCGTGCAGATTACAGTCACATGTGGGGTGTGACAGAGTGGAGGACTCTGGCATCCTGCGGACTTGGCCACCACAGCTTGAGGCCAGCTGTCACCGGCTCCAAGAAGACCCAACTCTCCCACTTGCAAAAAAGACGTCTGACGCGATTCTCAAGGTCTTTTCTAGTTCTGAAAGCGCCCTGTGATTCCCAGGGTATAAGAAAGCCCGTGTTCAGCTCCGCAAACCCAGTGCCAGAGACAGCACAGGAGCCTCTGAGTTCCGAAGAGCAGCCGGGAAAGGTCACTCACCCAGCGACTGTTTCCAGGGCAGCGGATGAAAACAGTGGAAAGGGACCTAGGGTCTGAAGTGTCATTTTGTGATCCGGATTTACTGTGGGAGAAATTCACAGCATCCTAGGTCCTGGGCTTGGTGGGCACTGAGGTCCCAGAAAGTTAGTGAATATCATTCCTGCCACTGGCCAGGGTAGGATAAGGAAGGCCATGTATGGTCAGGAAACTATTTCCAAAACCCTCTCCCTGGCACTGTGCACTAAGCTTTGCTCTTTTAAATGAGTTTTTGGGAAAGGAATCAAAGGCATGAGATTTAATTTAGCATCACATCCTAAATCGGGAAATGTCATACTGACCTGGGGCCCATCCTGGGCTGGTGATACAGAGCTGTGTGAGATTTACACATGCTGGGTTTTAGACTCGTATTGTGCTCTAGAAAATCATGGCAATGTGGTATGGAGGAAAGTGAAGGATTGGCCAAAACAATCTCCCTTTCTAGACCATTGTGTCAGAAAAGGAAAGGAATCCTGATCTGTGCCCTGGTTATTGTAAAAATCCCCGCAAAAGGCTGGGTTGTGGCTTGTGTAGCACGTGCAAAGGCCTGGGTTACACACCCACGCCTACACCCACACACACCGGCCAGGAGTTCTTGGGGGGACACCCCGATGTCCCAGCACCTGAGCAGTCCCCCAGTCTGTGCAGAAAATGAGTTTCTCGACCCTTCCAGGCCAACTCCTAGAGACTGGAGAATCTGAGCCGCACACTGTGTCCTAAGGTCTTCGTCACCCCACATCGGAGACACTTTTCCATGCATAAGAAGGAGACCCGAGGTCAACATTTCCTAACCTTTTGCTTTTCCCCAAAGTTACAAAGAGGTCCTAAGAAACAGCGCTATGTCCTCATCAGTTCTAGAATTCTTACTGGTTCTAACCCGGGGAAGAGAAAGTTCGCAAACAGCAGAACCAAGAAGGCCACTTTCGAGAGGTCGGCATGAGGACCAACGCGCCCCACGTGGAAGCCTGCTTTCATCTGCACTGCGGCACAGGGTTCTGAAGAAATGGAAGCCGTCCTCATTCCTGTGTCCCACTGACTGGCAAAGCGTCCTCCGCTGGAATGCGTCACACTTGTTCGGCACCAGCACCTGATGTTCAGAACCAGCTCACTGGGCCCACAGGAGCCCAACTGGCTTTGCTGGTAGAGCCTAGTCAGGATTTCAGAAACACCGTGAATTCAGACTGTCTGGCCAGGAAGCCGTGGAAAGAAAATAGGGGAATAGAATCAGGAGGAAAATTAACGAAAGGCTTTAATGAGCACCTCTCAACACCAAAGGCTTAATGTGATTGATTCCGGTCCAAACTGTTTCCCGAGACAGCAGAGTTAGCAGTGAAGGTACAGTTGTGCTCCAGGGTGGGCTCTAGGATGCACATAGATATCATGTCCTGTGACGTTCAAATTCCCTGTATAAAGTGGCACAGGTGGGCTGGTGCCTGTATAATCCCAGCGCTTGGGAGGCTGAGGCAGGAGGATCGCTGTGAGTCTGAGGCCAGCCTGGGCTACATAGCGAGGCCCTGCCTCAAAATAAACAAACAAAAATCAGTACAGTATGTGCTCAGAACCTAGGTGCGCCCCCCCATATACAGCAAGTCTTCGACTCACAAATATTCGAGCGGCGAACTTTCACAGGTGTGAATGGACCTCGTGTTGAAGACATTGGTAGATGTGACTGAGTCACGGAAGCAGCTCGCATGTCTGCTTGATACTGTCACAGGTGGGCCACCGGTGCTTCCTGTACCGTGGCAGTGTGCAGTGGCACCGTGCTCAGAGCCCAGGGTGTCCGGGAGCAGGAGGGAGAGCAATGGTGGCACTCAGGGGGCTGCTGGGAAGCACAAAGCAACACGCATTTGCATATCCGTGTCACGGGTGGGTGGGGCTCAGTTTGCCGGACCTACAGATGAATCAGATTAGGAATGTTCACCGGGAATGGAGCTCGCTCCTAAGTCAGGGACTTACTGTGCTTCAGTGGGCTCCGAATTACTCATAAACACCTAATCCAACCCAAGTTCTACGTAAGTAACTATACTGTATTTTTCCCTAAATAATGACAAGGAAAGTCTGCATGTGTTTGATAGTCATGATTTTTTTTTTCAAATATTTTCAAAAACCTCAGGCACTGCGGGCTGACAGTATTTCCTCCTTTATTTTGAATGAAGGCTTAGCAGCAGAGCCAAGGCATCTTGAAACAAATGCAGAAGACAGAAGCTTCAACCCTCTTCAGGTCTCAGGAGTTTTGTCTTATTTCCCAGCGGGTGTAGTCAATTGGGGAGGGGGGCAAATGTTTGCCAAAGAGAAAGAAGATATCTCTTGTCCTTTGAGGATGTAAGAGGTGGGCAGTCCCAAGTCTTGGTCAGTTAGGAAGGATCTAGATAATTCCAAGATTAAACTTCTCCTCTTGTGCCAGATAATCTCACTGTCAACCTGACCGGATTGCAAGCCTCCAGGGGAGGTGACTGGATCATGGAGGTGTCACAGTCATCGGTGGGTGAGTCCGGTAGGGTTCAGAGCTGAACAAGCTGTTAGGAGGTGGGGCCCAATTGGAAGAGGGGCTCACAGAGGCTGCACCTTGAGAAGGTATTTCTCTGGCAGGGGCTGTTCCCCTATGATCCACCATACCCGTCTACCATAGCCTTTCAGCCTGGGAGCAGCTGACCAGGGACTGAATCCTCTGAAACCACAAGCCAGACTCAACTCTTCTGCTTGAAACTGTGGGTGTCAGAGATTTCTGGCCCAGGAAGCCACAGGAAGGATAACCACTACACCCACATTTCCTCTACAGACACCTTTTGGATAAAGGTCTCAAACTTTTTTTATATCTCAGGCACAACATCAGAAAAATTATTTTAACCCATTTTGGAGAACTACTGCCAGGAAACCACAACCATAGATAAGTATGATTATCATTGAGTACAATTGTGGAGCCCTGGGAAGTCTGCATAGCATAAAGTTACAGCCTCTCGGCCAACTCATGTGACTAGGACGTATTATTGGGGCATTACTGAATGTCCCATTTGGGGCCCTCTAAGGACTACAGAGTGAGGAAACCAGGCAGGGCGTCAGCATGCCAGTACCTGAACTTTCAAGAGGGCAGAGAGCAGCTCGGAAGCCAAATACTTCTGGTACCCTTCCTTGGCCCACTAGGGAAAGAATTTTTATTTTATGACATACATATTTTCTTCCTTTCCTTGAGTAATAAATTAAAACATTTTATAGCTCGAAGAATTTTTAGGAATGTTCCAGTTGTTTCTCATTTCACAGACGGAGCAGGTCCTGAGGCTGCCGGGGCTGAGCAGGACCCAAGTCTCCTGACTCAGACCCTGTCTGAAGCACTTGTCCAGCTCCACCCGGCCGTGGCCGGGCTTCTGTACTGACAGGCACCTGTCGTGTGGACGCAGCAGAGTGAACCTGCACACCTGCGGACTGGCGCCTATGACAACCTACACATGGTGTAGGCGATTTCTGAGTTTCCTTTTCTTCCCACCTCTTAAACTTTATATTGTGAAAAACTAGGACATACACACACACCTCGGCCTGCCAGGGTCAAGATCTCAGCCTTGCTGTCCTCCACCTGCACTTCCGGTCACACCAGCAGCTCTTCAGGCAGCAGAGAGCGGGGCCGCCCTCTCCTGGGATACCCATGCCTTCTGCAATCCGTCCCAGGGCGCTGCCTGAGGCTGTTCAACAGCTGCCTAGTTTTTTTTTTTACTGTAGGTAGAAGGATAACCCTAAAATAATGATAAAAAGCACAGTACAGTAAATACACAAACCAGTAGTAGCACGGTCACTTAGGGTCATCATCAAGATGTGATTGCATCGGCGAGATCTTCACAGGGCACGCTGGTTTGTTCACGCCGGCATCACTGGAGCACATGACTGTGAGCACTGCTTTCTGCCAGACGTATGCGGGGGCTGCATCTTCACGACAGGATAGGCTCAGCTGCAGCATAACCTTTCGGGACACGGCGCTCTGTGGCCCATCATTGACTGAAGCATTGTTTTCGGGGCTTGATCGTTTGGCCCTGAAACGTCTGGTAGTCCCTGCTTACCCTGTCCCCTGTAGGGCCAGCCGGAAGTAAGAGCACTCTTTCTCCGCCACTGCCAAACTCGCACCTTCCTCCTCCCCCTCCTGCTTCTTCCTCTTCTTCTTTTTGCGGTACTGGGGGTTGAGCTAGGGTCTTTGCATGGAGCTGTATCCCCAGCTCTTTTTGAAATTCTGAGATGGGTCTCATTCAGTAACTAACTTGCCAGGCTGGGCTCAAACTCGAGATCTTCCTGCCTCGGCTTCCCAGTGCTGTAATGACAGGTGTGCACCAGCTTGCCGACTACCTTTTTGTTGAAGCTTCCCAGCCAGCACAGGTTCAGCCATGTGTCCTGGGTGTGGAAGGAATGAGCTCAGGACCCTTCACCCGTGGGACTATGGTGTGCAAATGCAGGAGGCCAGTCGCTGCCCTTGGAGCCCACCGGTGCTGGGCGAGCTCTCCTGTTAGTGCCCTGCAGTCTGCACTCCAATCCTGTGTAAGAGCCGCCGCACCCCCACACAGCTAAGGGAGGAGGATTCACAGCGCCAGCCTCTTCTCCGAGGATGGTAGATCCAGGCTGCAAGCCCAGACTCTGAGGCGGGAGGTCATGCCGCTCCTCCCAGGGCTATCTTGGAGAAACTGTGTCTTGGGCAGATGACCAAGGCAGGGGCCCAGTGCAGGGAGAAGTGGGGGCGCATTCCTGAACCCACAGGGGAAGCCTGAGTCGCGCCTGGAGGATCCGGCAAAAAGCCAGTTCTCAGACCCGAGGTACTGGGTGCAGAGCTGTCCGGACATTGGCCCCCAAGCCTGCGTGGGGCAGATTCGCATCACCGTCCCAGGGCCTCTGTGAATCCAGCTCTGCCTCTTTCTCAGGGTCCTGTGGCCCCTGACTCCCAACAGGTGGTGTTATGCTGAATGAGCTGCCTCTTAAACTCAAGAACCAGGATAGTGGGAACCCAGGCTGTCGCTAGTCATGTGACCCCCCAAGGCCCCTGCCGATGTGACTCCCAGAAGCCTAGGGAGTGAACAGGCAGGCACATTGTCCTTCATCCGAAAGCTCAGGGCCACAAGTATTGCAGAGTTTGGATTTTTTTCGCCCAATTCTGGAATATCTGCATATCCCTAACAACGTATTTTGAGGTGGCACCCAAATCTAAACGCAAAGTTTATGTTTCATATAACCTTACACTCAGCTTAAAGGCAACATCATATGATATTTTTAATACTTTTGACTGTGCCTTATCATGACAATGGGTGTGGAACCTCCTATGTATGACATCTTGATGCTCACAAAATTTCCGATTGGGGAGCATTTCAGGTTTTGGATTTTTCAGATTAGAGACGCTCAAGCCGTATGCAGAGGAACTAGCGGACAGTCAGGCTGCTGGGGCGCGATCCTGTCTCCCTCACAGCCCAGCTGTGTCCCGCCGGGCAGATTATGAAGGCCCTCTGTGCCTTAGTTTCCTCATCAGTGAAATGGAGGTACCAACAATGCCTATCTCGGCAGTGTGAAAACTCACGGAGTTTGTCTGCATGAAAGTGCTTGGAGCGCACGAGGCCTGGGGCCTGGCAGGTGTCAGAAACAGAGTCACCTCTCATCCGATCCATCCCTCAGAGCTCGGCCTCCGTCCCCAGAAGCCTCCTCCAGGTCCTCACTTGGGCTGGGCACACGCTGCCTTCCTAGTCAGTCGCTCCATGTTTGGACAGCTCTGACTAAGAGAATTCTTCCTTGGGTTCTGCCAAAACCATCTCCCTGCAACTCCCACTCTTGGGTCCCGGCTCTGCCAGAAGGCAAATGTCAAAAAAATAGTCTTGAAAGAGAAGAAAGACGCAGAATGTAAATAATCCTGATGGGATCGGGTTGAGGGCTGGCGGTCTCGCTATTCCCAGGGCTCGCAGCCCAGAGTGGGCACAGACCAAAGTCAAAAGAGCTTTCAGTTCCATCTGAAAAGCAGCCCACGACCTCAGGCCTGGGCTTTCTTAGGCATAAAACAACTCCTCTCTCTACTCTTTCCAGCCTGGAGCCTGATGCCGGCCTGGCAGGAGACCTCAGGGCTCAGGGAAAGTCACGTCATGTGCAAAGCTGACAGTCACAGGACCGCAGCCATGACCTCAGCACACTTAATACGTGCAGCGCGGCCTGTAATCACGGGGCGCAGGGAGTGGGAGGCCAGTGGCACGTGTGTCCTGCTCTGTTGACATAGCCTCCCTGGCGTCAGGTGTGAAATCACAACCGCGCGCTCCTCCCCTGCCCTCCTGGCGCCCTTCTTGAAGTTGGCGCGTGCATGGTGATGCGGGATGGGTGTAGGCAGCCTGCACATTAGCAGTAGAAGTCAGTCAGCACCTGGGTGTAGGGACTGCCCTCGTGTTTGCAGAGCAAAGGTGACGCTCTACCAGTCACTGTCCATCCCGCGCTCCTGGGTCCTGTCTTTGCAGCCTGGCTGCCAAGGACTTGACCCGGAGGCCCCCTAGGTCCCCCTCAAGGTTGAGGATTTACAGGTGTCCACAGCGCCACACGGCCCAGCAAGAGACAGACACATTCTGCCAAAGCGGCCGCTGCCCCCTTGGGTGAGGCTTTTCCAGCCCTTACCAAGGGACAAGCCAGTTCAGAGCGGTCGGTCTCCTTATTCAAGGGGTGCATCCAAGACCCGGTGGATGCCTGAAATCCTGGAGAGTTCCAAGCCCCATATATGTTTTCAGCTATGCGTGTGTGCAGAGATTTAATGAATTTTCTTTTCCCCTCTTTCCCTCTCTTGTTCACTCCCTCCTTCCTCCCCCCCACTTTCTTTCTTTCCTTCCTTCCTTCCTTCTTTCTGTGTGTGCTACCTGGAGCCTGGCTTATGCTAGGCAAGCATTCTGCCACTGAGCTACATCCCCAGCTCTTTTAATTTTATTTTGAGACAGGTGCTTGCTAAACTGTCTACACCAGCCTCGTACATGTGACCCTCCTGCCTCAGCCTCTCAGGTGGCTGGGATTATAGGCATGTGCCACCAAGCCCAGTTGGCTTTCCCATCATAACTAAACACTCATACACTGTCACACTGCGGCTGTAACTCTTGAAGCTTGGGGTGGGACAGCACACGTTTCTGTTACTCCTTCACCGTTCTATTACCATCGATCTTAGCAACCTTAATGTGTGCTTTCCCCCCTTCCTTAGTAAATCAAGACCTTTCACTTTTTCACCCAAAGCCAGCACTTTCTGGCACACCCAGATCTCCAGTATTACTACTCTTGTGCTCTGGGGCTGTTACTCAGTAAAACAAAGGTCCCTGGGACACAGGCTGTGGGGAGAGGGACCATCCACCTGGCGGCCGAGACGGCGGCTGGTGACTAAAGCAGCTGAGCTGCGCAGTGCGGACCGGCAGGACACAGTGACCATGACACGACGCCAGGGATTACTCAGCTCTGGGTGCTTCTCTTACTGTTCTCTGTCTGGGTAGCTGGAACCTCCGAAGGAGGCATGCCACAGATAAGGGGGGACTGTTGTCCTCTCCCTGGTTTATCCCCCCACCTCAGCCCCTGCATGTGACCCCAGGGAGGAAGGTGTGGAGGGAGGGGCTGGGCTCTGACCTGCTGCTTCCTGGGCTGCCTTGGTCCTTCCCTAGGGGCCTCCTTTACTCAGATTAGCTCAGCCGCACAGGCTGCTCATAAGTCCATGTTCTTGTCCCACCCCTGGATCCTGGGGAAACCGAGATGGCCCTGGGCGTAGCTTTGAAATGCCACGTCCTCCAGGGTCACTCGGCCAGCCCTGCTCCTGGGGTGCTGAGGGGAGAGGTCACCCGGGGACCGAGATGGGCAGGGATGGCCCCGCCTCCTCCTTAGGAGCTCAGAAAGGGAAAGCTGTCTTGGCTCTGGTGTTGCAAACGTCGGCGAGCACCTTTGCTGGGTCCTCGAGCCATGTTCGTCTTCAGACCTTGAAATGGGGCTTTGAAGCCCTTCTGTGAGTCCAGGGACCCCACGCCCCACCTCCCCTGGCCTCAAGGATCAGCAGGATCATGTCTGCCGCCCGCCTCTCCTCCCAGCCACCTCGCTCCTCCTCCCTCCCACGGTGGACCTGTCCAAAGGTTCTGGCCTTGTCCCCACCGCTCCCAGTTTACCTAGGGCCTGCACTCCTCCTGAGTCAACACAGCACTGACTCGTGCCAGGAGGCTCCAGGCTCAGGCTTTCTATCCCAGCACGGCCTCTCCGGTCGGGACCCCAGTCCCGGTCCTCGCCGAGCCCTTTCCACCCTCCCCATTCCTGCCTCGGAGTCACAGGTCCCGGCTTCCCAGACACAAGCCACTCACGCCTTCCACGTGTGCACTCACTCTGCGTTCTGCCCAGTGAAGTCCCCGGCTCTTGTCCAGTTCCCCCGTCCACCCTCTTCTTCCAAAAGCCCACTGAGACTGGGAACTGACCGGGCCCTGGGCTCCAAGTCCCAAGCCAGCCATCTCAGGAAGAGCTGCTTCTCCATCCTCGTTTCCGGTTTCAGGAAGACAGGGCCTCTCCACTTCCCCTCTCCACAAGCTCTGCTGCCACCTTCCCAAGGCCCCTGCTTGTCTCATGTCCGCCTCTTACGCCCCGGCAGCCCGAGTCTCTCAGTCCTCACGACCACCTCGGTCTTGCGCAGCTGTGGTAAGGACAGGAGTGGGAACGCACACTTCGCCACAGGGAGCCTCTTCCAGGGTAAGCACTCAGTTCATGCAAGGAGATGCTGAGGGCGGTGGTGACGGTGATCGTGGTGGTGGCCATTATGAATCTGTCCCTAGGGACCCATGGATCAACCCAGGAAGCCTCCCCTTTCTCCCAGTGGCACACACAACCGGGTTCTGCTGCTGATCCGCTACACACAGGGGCAGGCGCTTGACTAGGTGACAGTGGTGACACCGGTGACGGTGAGGACTAATGAGAGGAACAGAAGTGCATGACAGAGAGGGAGAAGAAAGGAGAAGAGGAGGAGAGAGAGGAGGAGGAGGCAGCAACTCTCCCTATGTACCAGACACTGTCCAGAGTGCTTCTCCTAGATGGACTCATTTACATGCATGCATTTACATATTCATCTGCATATAGCGGCACATTTACATGCGCATATTTTACATATATTGACACATGTACTTGCTCTTTTCATTATTACTGGCCTGTTTACTCCTCAGAGAACCCCAGTGGGGCTGGGGATGTGGCTCAGTAGTAGTGCCCTTACCCAGCACGTGCAAGGCCCTGGGTTCAACTCCCAGCACTGCAAAATACACAAAGCAAAACCCTCCCAGTTTCACAGCTGCACTGACCCTGAGATCACACTTGCTCGGACCGAGAGGGAGGTGACAGCCAGGACACGGATGACAGGGTAGGCTGAGGCAGGCTTCCAAGGACAGATGAGAGGACCATGCGTCCCTTGGGTAAGCCGGCAGGAAGTTGCGGGTGCACTGGGCCCTGGGAGGTAGGTGAAGGAAGTTCGGGACTCAGGCTTCTGCCCTCCTGCGTCCGCCCTGGGCCTGAGTGAAGCCAAGGAGCAGTAGCAGGAAGGCGGCTGCCCTGGGTGGGGCCACGGCTTCTGCTCAATTAGATTTATCAGTGGTTTTGTGGAATGTCTTAGTTCTTAGGAAATGCACATAGACGGATCCAGGGCCACACGACTCACTCTCAAGTTACTCAGACAGAACACACACGCGTGCAAGTGAGTGTGAGTGGAGGAGCTGGAGTGCAAGGAGGAGCGACCGCAAACCTGCCAGGGTCCCCGCCACCCGTCAGCCTGGGGAGGTGGGGCCCTCGCGCTACTTTCTCAGCTTCGCTGTACGTCTGAAGTGATGTCAACGTCAGAAGTTACCAAAGACGCACAGAGCAGCTCGCAAATGCTAAGATCTCAGAACCAAGCAAAACCCATCAAGCATGGCGGAGTGGCTGACAGTGAGAGAAAGAGGGTGAGGAAGGGAGAGAGAAAGGAATAGAAAGAGTAAGACAGAAGCTAACAGAGAGAAGAAGAGAGCAGGAGCGGTAGGGGAGAGAAAGAAAGAGGAAAGGGGAGGGAAGTTAGTCGTGATCCTCCTGCCTCAGCCTCCCAGAGTGCTGGGGTTGCAGGCCTGTGTCACCACGCCTGGCTGCAGGCTATCACTGAGCGTGCTCACTGTTCTCCCACTTTAAATCTTCCAGGCGGTGACCCCACACCCGTATCTCCAGCTCCATCACACGCTTGACAAAGCGGCGGGGAGACGCACCTGGCCTTCCTGCCACTGCTATGACTCAGTGACCCAGACTGACCTCCCCTCCGCCTCCCCAGCCAATCCCGTCTCACCGGGGCCCTCGCCCCTCGCCATTCGTGGAGGCTCCCAGAAACCTCTGGAAAGGCTGAGGTTCTCTCTCCTTCTGCCCTCCCCTTCTGTTCCCTGTAGTCCTCTGACCTGTGCTTCTCACCTTCTCGTGTGTCCTGGGGTCGCGGTAGTGGCCTCCTGCGGGCCACAGCTCCTCCAGCTCCTTTCATTCATGGACATCAAAGCCAGTCTGATTCTCCTGGGAGGAGTCCGATCCCGGGGCTCTAGAACCTGTTAAGATGCAGGTCTCATTTCTCATTTCCTCCTTCCTTTCCTCCCTCTCCCCCGCTTTCTTTTTTCTCTCTCTCTGTCTCTTTCTTTTTTTTCTTCTCTTTCTGTATGAGTCAGGGTCTGGCCTCACGCCCCTGGCTCAGGCATTTCTCCTGGTTCAGCCTCCCTGGTAGCTGGGACTTAAGCTCATGGGCCACTGTACCTAGCTTTCTGACTTTTTTCACAAATACCTGTCTTCGCATCCAGCTTTGTCAGAAGTCCCCGGAAGCAGGTGCTAATCCCGTCTTGGGTCCCTGCCTCAGCACATGGCTGGCTGCTGCCACAGACGTGAGCAGACACCTAATCGGTGGGCTGGGTTTTCCTCATTTCTGTGTTGTTCGGTTCTACTTAGAGGGGTCTGCGCGCTCACCTCAGACACGAGGACAGCGTGGGGTATGGCGCAGGCCCTTGGGCTTTGTAGTGTCCCTGAGGTCCATGGCCACCGCCACTGGGACCACAAACGAGGCTCTGTGGAAGGAAATCTGACGGGTCAAAGGCTGCGGCCAAGGGCTCTGGGTTCTCACCCTTCCCGCGGAGAGCGCTGTTAACAGCAAGGCGACAAGGCACTGCGTGAATGTTTACATTTTAAAAACGTGCTAAAGGCACTGCCGTTAACCCTCCCCTCACACCACTTCAAACCCTTCTCCCACGGCTCTTGCCACTTTCTGCGGCCGTTCTGAAAGCGCTCTTTCGGGAGGGTCTTTATGAGGTAAATAGAAAATGTCACAAATGCCGCCGCAAGTGCCATCGGCTGAAAGGCAGGCTTGCGAAGCTGTACGCGGCATCCTCGTCCGCCTGTTCCCTCAGTCTGCTGCCCTGCAGCTTCTGGCTCTTCCCAAAGTCGAACGACCATGGCAGGACCGTGTTTTGAGTCAGTTCAGGACACGGAGGCAGCAGGGACATCACAACCAAAGTCACTCGGGGAAGAGTACTCTGGAGCCGCTCCAGAAAGGGACAAGAGAACTGGGGATGTGTTTAAAGTGGGGAGGCGGGAGGGGTTCGTGGTAATGTGTTTACAGTTTTTAAAATTTAAACATTCATCATATTTTTCAATGACGCCTCGTGTTTACCTTTCCATAAATGTTCTCAAACTGAGCCTGGTTTCAAACACCCTATGTGGGCGAGCGCTGCCTGTGGGGGAAGAGCCCTCCCTCAGCCCGAGACACACAGCTCTGATATCACCGCAAACAGCAGCTGCGTCTGTTCGCGCTGCTTCGTAAACAGCTCCAGTCCTGCCCAGGAAGGGGCCGGCGCCTGGCGTTCTGAGGAAGCGCGAGCGGCTTCCTCCTCCCGTGGTTCACCCTTCGGCAGCGGAAGGAGGGGGGCGCCAGGCCTCGTGAACCCGGACCCGAGTGGCCCTCTGGAGGGGTAAACACCGATCTCTTTGAAGGGGCACCCTTGAAAGCTCAGCAGGAGACCACACACACACACACACACACACGCTAGGGTGTCCGCCCAGAACTGCAATAATGTTACCAACAACTCCTTCCCGTGGGCGAATGTTTCCTGCTGCTGTAATGCGCGCTACCTGGTGTGATCCTAGCCACTCTCCTCTTGTGTACTCTGGGGTTCTAGACGGTTCTTTGTAGCGCCCCGGGCCGGGCCGGGTTCTGACCTTTCCGCAGGCACACAGCACGCTGGCCCCACTCTGGTGGGCCACCTGCTGCACGGATGTGTTTGTCCAGGCGCCCTTTGTTTTTCTGGTTCGCTGACAGATTCCTCCCTGGTCCCATTTGACATTAGGACCTCGATTAGCTGCGCAGGTCCAGAGGCGGAAGCGTCTTCGCAACGGAAAGTGTTCGGACTGCGCTGTAGCCTCGCCGGACGACCAACCACTCACTCAATGAGCTGCCTGCTACCACCCTTCCCGGGAGAGGGAAAAGCTCCACAATTCCCCGATCCACATTCTCCCCGCTCGGCCCCCTCGGAAGCGGACTTCACCCTCCCTTACGGCAGGTAAGGCCCCAGGTAGGAGGCACCACTGGCCTGGAATCCACCGCGTCCCCTCCTCCTTCCTCTCTGCTGAAAAGGCCAGCGATTGTCCGGGGGGCAGTGTGGGCCACTGTAACTGCCACCCTCACCTGGGGATCCGGGATGGAAGCTGTGAGAGGTGCAGGTCGAGGGCGACAGGTGGAGCACCACAGAGACACACCCACCGGGGCCTGAGTCCCGCAAAACTGCCCTCACCGCTCTCTACTCCCCACCCCTATGGCTTGCCAAAGAAAAATTAAAATGCAATATCAGAATAAATGTCAACCGTTTCTCTCACCCAGCCCTAGCCTTCAACTAGTGACCCACACTCCAGTGTCACACACCCTCCTGGCTTTGGGACTGTGGTGATTCTGTTTGACGGAGAGGCCAAGGCAGCCTGATTCCAAGCCGGTTCCAAGATCGGAGCCGCCTGGTCTGGAACTTTCTATGGTTGTACCCAAGTCGCGAAGTCCCCAAAGACCACCAAGGAGTCAGGTCCGAGGCAGTCGCAAGAGGAGTTTATTGCAAGCTCGAGCCTGGACTCTCAGGTGTCACCGTCACAGCGGCTTCAGACCGAGAGCCCAGATCCAACTTTGAACCAAGCTTATATAGGATTTTTCTGTTGCTATTTTTAGTTTTCCCTTGTCATCAAGGGGCATCGGGAGGGCACATTGGAACATGACCTAATGCTTACATTTGCAAAATTATCATGGGGTGCTGGAATGGGTGGAGATGCCCTAAAAGCGGAACTGCAATTGTCAAAGCACAGAGAAACTTCCACATAGAATGGAAACTATTACATAGAATGGAATTTTTCACAAAGGAACTTTTATATTTACTCTATTCTGGGTAAGGGGATTGGAGCCCACCATGACCTGGAAACTTGGTCCTCACACTATGTAGCTCAGACTGGCCTTAGACTCTTATCAACTTGCCTGCCTCAGCCTCCCAAGTGTTGGGATTACAGGCATGGGTCACCACCCTGCAATATGTAAGTCATTTTTTAAAAATCGTTCTTGCTGGGCGTGGTGGCGTACGCCTATAATCCCAGCACTCGGGAGGCTGAGGCAGGAGGATTGCTGTGAGTTCGAGACCAACCTGGGCTACATAGTGAGTTCCAGGTCAGTCTCAACTACATAGTGAGACCCTGTCTCAAAAAAAAAAAAAAATGTTCTTACTTCAGTTTTGAACATAACACATTCAGATGGCCTAACTGTAAGACTTGTCTAGAAGAAATGTGTAAAGGATGGCCAGAAGGTTTTTTTGGGGTGGGGGGAAGATGCAGTCGCCCTGAAAGTTTTTAAAACTGATACTTAAACTTTACTGACAAAAATAACAAACAACAGAGGGAGCATCTGGAGAGAAAGACCTGAGTCAATGTGGAAATTAAGCATAAGACAGAAGACAGCACATTGGATCAACTCAGAAAGGTCACTTAACAGTTTTAAGACTGATTCACAATATGGAAAAAAGTGAAAGAAAAAAGCTAGGTCTCTACCTCACATTACATAAAACTAAGATTCAACTGGATTAAAGAGTTGTTTAAAATATATATTAATATATTTGATGAAAACATAAGTAAAAATTGTCATAAAATAAGCAAGGAAGAACTTTCTATACCAGAATTTTAATCCCAACACTTGCCTACATCAGTACTTATACTGCTGGATGCAGAAACACCACAATCAGAGTTAAAAAGCTGATGACAAATGCATGCTGAACCAATGTTTCTGAAAACATGGGAATCGTAGGCCAAATTAGGTAGCAAATGGGTTTTACAAATCAATAAGAGAAGATGAATTCTCTACTAGAAAAATAAAGACAATGACTATTTTTAAAGATGGCTGAGAAGCTGCCCAGCGATGTTTCATCACATCAGAAATCAAAGATGTTTGAATTAAAATGAGGATTTTTTTTTTTTCTGTTCTTTTTGGCAGTGCTGGAGATTAAAACCAGAGCCTTGCATATGCTAGGGAAGCGTTCTCTTACTGAGCCACACCATACCCTGAGCTCTTTAAAAGACTAATATATTTTTAGGGCCTGGGATTTAGCTCAGGGATTCTGGTGCCTGCCTCAGAAGCACAAGGGCCTGAGTTTGATCCCCGGTACCAAAAAAAAAAAAAAAAAAAAAAAAGACTAATATATTTTTTAAAACATATATATTAGATATCATGTGGACGAAGATCTGGAGGTGGGGAGGGATCTATGGGCAGGATCTTTTGGGAGGGATATTTGGGGGTATCAATCACACGTCTTAGAGCACATTTTTAATACACAGCAGAAACAAAGGCAAATGCGCAAAGATATACCAAGAGCGGAAGGATGGTCCTTATTCATGGGCCACGGTGCTGTATTTAATAGCAGAACTGGAGACAGAGGCAGTGGCTGACATTAGGGGTAATTCTGACATCACCAGACTTCCTTTTAATAGACCACCACGCAGCGCAGCTCTTTAAGATTATGGTGCAAGATTTATGTTTATCGACATGAACTGATTGATATCTACTATGAATTGTGACATGAAAAAAAGTAATGTGGGCTGGAGATGTAGCTCAGTGGCAGAGTACTGACTGGGTTCAACCGCCAGTACTTCCAAAAAAGGAAAGAAAGAAGGAAGGAAGGAAGCAAGGAAGGGAGAGAAAGAAAGACTGTCATTTCCCTTTCTTCTTAAGAAATCTGTGTACCACTCTGTAACCACTAAGATGCCTGTAACTATTTTAGAAACAGTAAAAGTTGGTGAAGATGTTGAGAAGCTGCTATCCTCATACCTTGCTAATGGGAATGTAAAATGGTGTTTTGAAATAAGGCATCTGTCCACACAAAAACTTACACAGGAATTTCTCAGCAGAATTATTCAACAGGTCCCCAAAGCAGAAGCAAGCCAAACGCCCGTCAGCTGGTGTGTAAGGGAAAAAGTGATAGGTTTGTACTATGGAGGTATAATTTACCAATAAGAAGAAACAAAGAACAGATACATGTTATGGCATGGGCTGATTTTGAAAAATTGTGCTTATTAACCAAAAACCATATCTTGCCTTCTGTGAAGACTTCCATTTATTTATTTGTTTGTTTATTTATTTATTTATTTTTGAGGCAGGGTCTCACTGTGTAGTTGAGACTGATCTGGAACTCACTATGTAGCCCAGGCTGGTCTACAACTCACAGTGATCCTCCTGCCTCAGCCTCCCAAGTGCTGGGATTATAGGCGTGCGCCACCACGCCTGGCCCAAGACTTCATTTATATGAAAAGTAAATGGAATGTCCAGAACAGGCCACTCTATAGGGATGGACTGGTGGGTGGCTAGGGTTAGGGCAGGGGAGACAGGGCTGCTAATGGGGTAAGGAACTCTTCTTGGAAGGATAAAACTGCTCTAAAATTGATTGTGTTGATGGTTGGGCAACTCTATGAATAAACCATTGGGCTGTATACTTTAAACGGGTGAATTATGCAGCATGATAATAATGTTAAAAATGTATACGTATAGCCAGGTATTTGGCTCAGTGGTTCCACTGCCTGCCTTGAAAGCGCAAGGACCCAAGTCTGATCCCCAGTACCAAAAAAAAAAAAAAAAAAAAGTATATGTATAGAAGCAAAGGAAAAACTTTGGAGATTAGGTTTCATCAAAATATTAATTGTGGTTGTCTCTAAATGTTGGATTATCTTAAAGTTCCACTGTGTACCTTCCACTACCCTTAGAAGTGTGCAGACACAGAACACTGGGCATTTACACAACTGGGGAATCAAAAGACAAACCTCTTATACTCTCACCTATTCCAGAACATCTCCAAAACCTTTCAGCTCCAAGGACTCTCACACACCACTGCAAACAGTACAACTCAACAAGGTTGTACAACAGTTGTACTCCTTTCCATGGAAACACAGGAGATGTTTTGTTTTGTTTTGTTTATTTGAGGCAGGGTCTCACTATGTAGTTGAGACTGACCTGGAACTCACTATGTAGCCCAGGCTGGTCTTGAACTCATAGCAACCCTCCTGCCTCAGTCTCCCGAGTGCTGGGGTTACAGGCGTGTGCCACCACACCCAGGCAGGAGATATTTATATTTTGTTTTTGAAGTCACTAGGCCACACAGAACTGACCTATGATTAGCTACAGTCCTCTGAGCCATTGCTATACCAATAGGGGAAATGGTCACCAGCAGAGAGGCTTCTGACATGATTAGATCTTTATGAATCATACATTAGTAGTGATGTCACTATGCTACACTTGATAGACATTTAAACATTAATTAGTTTTTTGACCTTTTTTTTGATAAAAAGAAACTATTTCAAAGAGGGCTGGAGGTGTGTCTTGCAGTAAAATCTGGTGAAAATGGCAGTTCTGGGTCAAACTTGCAATGATGTACAAATTTTAAACGCTTTAGTAATGACTGATGTCTGCTACAGTCTAAATTAAATCCATCAATTGCCAATTTTGACATTCATTACAGAGCATATTAGTGTAGAAGTTAAATTATTTTGCATGGTGGGCAGTCTCTCTGCCCTCCCCCACCACCCATGACCCCTTCCTAGCCTGCTGCCCCTGGCCTCCAGCCACGGGGGGATTGGAGTACAGCTGGGTGGGGTCCTCTCTCCCCTCCCCTTTCTTTCTGTGGGCTGTTGCTCCAACTGGGTGTATAGCTTTTTAATATTGCACCGAAGGTTTTTTAAATACAAATTTTAAAGGAAAAAGCATCATTTTTACAAAACAGAGAGAGAGGGCTGGGGATTTAGCTCAGTGGTGCCAATGCCTGCCTCACAAGTGCAAAGTCCTGAGCTCAATCTCCAATACCAAAAAAACAAAAGCAAAAACAAACAAAAAGAGAATAACTTGATAGCTTCTACTAAGATAATATTGCTTTGAAAATACACCCATAGCTTGCTGTGTTCCTCAGCTTTCTGTTACTGTAACAAAACGCCAGAGGGGATTGACTTATAAAGAAGAAACGTTTATTGGGCTCGCAGTTTTGAAAGTCCCAATCCAAGGTTGGTTGCCCTGTTGCTCTTGGGTCTGTGGGAAGCCAGTACATCATTGCTACATTACAGCCCAGCTGCTGACCAGTATCACCTTCCAGGTCACACCCTCAGTGACCAGAAAACCTCTCCTTAAGCCCCATCTCTTAAGGATTTCTATCACCTCTCACTCTACCATGCTAGAGATCCAAACTGCAGCAGGTGCTACTAAAGTTCACTCACGTCTTTCTGTAACTTGGCTACTTCAACCACCTGCTGCAGGCTGGATGGTCGCCCCTGTCCTTACCTGTCCCCAGTCAGTTGAACACCAGCACTTTTTGTCTCATAAGTGGAGCCAATATTTTCTCCTGCTCTGAGCACACAGGACTGATAAGAATTCTCTCACCTAAGCCAGGCTTGACTGTCCTAGTTCTTCCTCTGCAGACAGAGATCCTAGTTCAACACGAGTGCTCCACTCTTGGCTTTGTTCCTTTCTTGTCTCTTCTGCCTCTTGTACACACAGGCGAAGCCACGTGAGAAGGAATTATGGGAGCTCCAGTCCTGTGAAGCTCCAGCTGCACCCAGCACCAGCCCGTTGTCTGTCAACACAGCACAGTGAGGCCTCTGTGTTCTCTGGAAAGCGATGCAATTCTGCAAAAGATTGGTTTACACTTGAGTTTTCCTCCTCTATCTCTGCAGCAATGCCAGCTCTGAGTGTCTTCTCCCAGCCCACCTTTAAGTCTTCTTTCAACACCACACCTCTCGGAGGGTCAGCAACCTTCCAGCCAGGTTGGGTGTCAGCAAAAGAGTTAACAGAGGGCTGGGGATTCAGCTCTGCCACCTGCCTTGCAAGAGCAAGATCCTGGGTTCGATTCCCCTGTACCAAAAAGAAAAAAAAAAGGCTAATAGAAAGTAAATCTGGGGCTAATAGAAAGTAAATCTGGGTCCAAAGCAAATTCTCTTGGTTACTAGAATTTTCTTTTATGTCCTCACAGACAGTGAAGTGGGAACCAGGGCCCCTTCGTTGATGGTTCCTTGTACAAAGGCAAAGACCTTTTCATGCTGTCCCTTACTCCGGCTTTCTCTAACCAGGTCAAGTTCTCTTTGTAGAACCCAATGCTTCCACTTCATCGAGTCCCTGTCTGTGGTCCATAGGTCTGAGATGGTGGACGAGATTCCTCGCCAGCTGCCCCTGGAAGACCTTCATCTATCATGCTACGCTGTTCACCAGAGCGGCCAGAAAATGCCACAGCCAGAACCAGAACCGTTAACAAAAGAGACACATCGGACTAGCCTGAAGTTCTCTTGGTCCTTGGAATACCGGCAAGCAACACCTCAGGTGTGCACCACTTTCAAAGGACCCGTGACAACCTCGCCCAGGGCTTGGGCCACAGAGTTTGCAGCCGACCCAAGCAGGACCGCCGTGTTTCTCTCCAGTTCACGTTTGAACCCGACAGTCTCAATTCCAGAAATAGATTGTAATAGCCGCAGATTTTCCACGATGACGGCCATTTCTCCCTGTCTTCATTGTGTCTTAGTTGCTGATAGAATCACGTAAAAAGTAGAGTCGGTTTTGGTGGCATTCTGGTGACAGAGAGGCCCCCATCACCCCAACCATGCACTTTCCTAATCTACCTTCTTGCCTGGAAAATTAGGCTGGTTGCTTTTCTGGTGGTTGCCTTGTGGGGTTCTTTTCTTCCGTGTTTAGTAGCCAGCACAATTTTTCAGTTGTCCCATATTGTGACGTGTGTGTGCTCCAGGCCTGTGGGAAGAGGGGACGGAGGAGTTTTTGTCCACTCCCAGCTGTCCCCAAGCCTAATCCAGTGGTCGCTAATGACGGTACCGAACTCACACACACACACACACACACACACACAGAGGGATTAGCTTGTCCCCCACCCCCGTCCAGCGTCACTGCCCACTCTTGTCAAGAACATTCGGCTGACACAAAACTCGGGGGAGCGTTTATCTTCCCGAACCACACTGGCGCTTTGTTTTGGCTTGGTTTTTGGGGCTCCATGCTATTACACAGCTTGTAGCCCAATCTCATCCCACCCTCTTTCCCCTCTTGACTTTTCGATCTTGCTAAGTCCTTCCCCATCCCAAGTTTGAACCATTACTTTGTCTTCTGTCTTGTAACTTTCTGCAGAATTTTATGGCCTTTTTTTTTAACAGAACTTTTCAACTTTTAAGGTAACTTTAAATTGGGCCCATGGATTTAGCTCAGTGGTTCCGCCACCTGCCCTGAGAGGGCAAGGTCCCGAGTTTAATTCCTGGTACAAAAAAAAAAAAAAAAAAGTGAAAAGAGAACTTTAAATTTCCCTCCTGTTTCACAGAATGTTCATGACTAGCAATTCGCACTTTGGCCAGGTGTTGAATGTCCAGCTATGACAGCCAACATTTGATGTAAGATAAATGCTTCTTGTACAATAAGCCCCTGAAATCTTTATGTGCAACATTCCAGCCTTAGACAGTTTGGCAGTCATATTTTGCAGATTTGATACCACAGTGTGGAAAAAGCCATTCCTCATGACTGTCAGCTCCTTGGTCACCTCTGCTGTCATTAAGCCCAGCCACAAAAACAGATGTCCTCTCTCGGTCGGTGACGGGAGAGCCAAATCATCTAATGTTTCTCACTTTTCTCCGACACTCTCCTCATTTCCTCCCTCACCACAGCCCTTACTGTGTCTGGATAGAGGATGATTTATCACTAATGCATAATGCTTGAGTGTGGAGATTTTTTCTCATTCTGAAAACACTTTTGCCAGGGTTGTAGCTCAGCGGTTCCGCCGCCTGCCTCGCAAGCACAAGGTCCCCAGTTCGATCCCCAGTACCAAAAAGCAAGAAAACAGCAACAGAACCCCAAAAAACTTTTAGCATCATTGCCTGTCTTTGTGTATTCCCACACTTGACTGAATTATAAAACTATGTGACAAACGTAAGCTCCTGACCGGAATCTTGAAGGCTTGGTTCCATAACTCCTAGTGGTGCTGTTCAGAGGTTTGATGTCATTTTAAAAGATATGCTTTATTAGTGTCTACTGGGTTTTAATGATGTAATGTGTGTTGATTGTATCCATCCGTCCTGGTATCCCTTATCCCTCCCGTCCTCTGCCCCTTGTCCCTTTCTCTTGTCTAATGATAATCTCCCTTCTCCTTTCATGGAATCCTTTTTTTTTTAATTCCACATATTCAGGAGAACGCGGGCTCCTTGCCTTTTGAGTCTGGGTTAGTTTGCTCAACATGGTGATCCCCGAGTCCGTCCGTTTTTCTCACAAATTCTGTAATTTCATTCTCCTTTCCAGCTAATACTCAACTCTTGTTTTGTTTTTTTTTTTTTATCCATTCATCTGTTGATCGGCACCTCTTGTGGTTCCCTTTTCTCGGCCACTGTGACACAAGACACAAGGATGCAGGTCCCCTACAGTCGGCTGCTGACTTTGACTCCTTCGGGTATCTGCCGAGCAGTGGGAAGCCTAGGTCCTGTGGGGTTCTGTTTGCAGTGTTGTGAGCAAGCTGCAAACAGTTCTACCACAGCAGCTGTACTAATTTACATTCTCAGCCGCAGTGGAGAAGGGTTCTTTCTCCCTGAGGCCTCCCATTGTTCAGCGTGTTTTGTATTTCGTTGATAGCTATTCTGACTGCAGTGAGACGGATTCTCAAAATAGTTTTGATTTGCATTTCCCTAATGGCTAAGGATGTTGGAAAATTTTATATATATTATACCCATGCCAGCCACTTGCTCTTCCGAGAAGTATGTTCATTTATTCATTTGACAATTTGATTGGGCTGTTGGATTTTTTTTTTTTTTTTTTGGCGTTTAGTTCTTTATACATTCTAGATATTAATGCTTTTCTGGAGGATTAGCTGACACAGATTTTCTCTCATTCTATAGGTTGTCTCTTGGCTCTGCTGGTTACTTTCCTTGCTGCGCAAAACTTTTAAAGTTGACGTAGTTCCGGGTGGTGATTCTTGCTCTTATTTCCTGTGCTGCTGAAATCTGTACAGGAAGTCTTGGCCTGTGCCAAAGGCTTCGAATATTTCCCTATGTTTTCTTCTAACAGTTTCAAAGTTTCAGCTCTTATACCTAAGTGTTTGATCCATTCTGGATTAATTTTTGTACAGACAGATACATATCTACCTACTGTGGGTTTAGTATTCTATGAGTGGGTACGTGGGTTTTGCAGCACTTTTTGTTGAAGAGGCTGTCTTTTCTCCAACATACATTTTTTGTCTCCTTTGTCAAGAATTGGATGGGTGTAGTTGTGTGGGTTTCTGTGTCCTCTCTTCCACTGGTCTATGTGTCTATTTTTGTGCCAGGACTGTGCTGCCTTGTTACTGTGACTTTGTACAATTTGAAGTAGCGTATTGTGATGCCTCTAGCCTCGCTCTTTCTGCTTTGGATTGCTTTGACTATTGGGAGTCTTTTGTGTTTCCTTATGAAATTGTAGGTTAGATTTTCTAGACCAGTGAAGAATGTCACTGGAATTTTGATGGCGATTACATTGAGTCTGTACATTACCTTTGGTGCTATGGCCATCTTAACACTATTAATTCATCCTATCCTTCAACATGGAGGTCTTTCTGCCTTCTAATGTCTTTCCCAGTTTCTTTCTTTGTGTTCTGTAATTTTCTCTTAGAGCGGTCTTTCACCTCCTTGGTTAGGTTGAACCCTAAGTTTTTTGTTTTCGTGAAGCTATAGTGAATGGAATTGTTTTCCCAATTTCTTTCTTAGCTAGTTCATTATGGGTGGATATAAAAGCTACTGGTTTTCTAAATGTTGACTTTGCGAGTGTTATTTTGTTAACCAATCAGGCATAGTCAAGGCAAAGCTTAAGAATTACAACAATGCATCGAAAACCTTAAGAAACAATGGGGTACATGGGGAATGGCCCACGACTACTCCTGGCTCCAACAGATTATGCCATGGCTACTTCCCTTATTGGGCCTGCTGACCTTGTGTGTCTTCTGGCCATGGTAGTCCCGTGTCTGTTTCTCTGTTTTCAGATTTTCTTGCAGAAACGCATGAGGGCATTTACCAACCAGATAGTCATGGAACTCATCATGACAGGGTATTGGCCACTGACAGAGGGAAGAGGCCCCACCTACTGCTGCCCCCACCAGATTCAGGTTTAGCCCCAACTTTTGCCCCTTCGTCAGCTTGAAGCAGCTCTAGAAGAAGAGACCTTCACCCAATAACCATAAAACAAAAGCCTGGAATGTTAGATTTCCCTCGCCTTAAGATGGCCGTTACTCCCCTTCCCATAATGCTCTGCTTCTCACCTAAAAAGATGGCTTCTCCCACCTACCAAAGGACAGCCGCCTCCTTCCTGTGGTGCCTCTTCTCCCACCAAAAAGTAACCAGATACTTGCTACCTCCGAGTAATCAGTGGTGTCACAAGCCCCTCCTCGTAATGTCACAGGCTCCTCCAATCCCTTAATACTACCTCACTTAACTCCATCCCAGCTTCTATAAGCCCTACCACAGTCCTATAAAAGAAGTTCTCTGTTCTGCCATACTACTCTCTCTCCTTTGATCAGAGACAGCCCGGCAGGTTGTCCCAACAATAAAGGCTTATAGTGGTTCAAGATAAATAAAAATAAATGTTGACTTATATTCTGTCTTCCTGATAATTTGATGTTCTCCTTTGAGTTCATCAGAAAAGACAGGGAGACTTCCCTAAGAGGGCTTTTCCTTGAAAGACTGATAAACTAAATGGGTTTAGCCATAAATTAAGTTGTTAAATGTTTTGTTTGATAGTATAAATGCAAATCACTAAGTTATTCCACAACAGTTGGAATTCTGATATCATCTAATCTCAGTCGCTCAGCCTAGTGCAGTTACAGCCTTGTGCAGTTATTTGCATTTATAAACCTTTGTAAGCACGTCTTTTGTTTTTTTCTTAAATGATTTGGCTGTCACACTCACTATTCACATGTCAATTTCTGTACCTTTTTATTTACCTTGCTAACGTCCTTAATAATAGTGTCAATGGGGCAGCTGTAGGCTGTAGCACGCAATTGCTCCATACAAGTTCCCTGACCGACGGGAGCCTCTGTTCACAGCTGAGGAAACTGAGGCACGCAGAGGCGAGTTTCCCACAAACACAGCAGGAAAGGGGCAGTCATCAAGGCAGGAGCGTCTGGGCGCCTCACCTCTCTGCCCTCAGCCTCCCAGTTACCTTTCCTGGATTACACTACATTTCTGGCTCAGCCCAACATGACCCACATGGGAAATTCACGTTTGTGTCCTGGTTTTCCGAGTTGCATGTGCATTTTCACCTTCCAGCTCCTTGTCTTTCCTTCTTTGATTTCAGGTTAGATTCCTGGAGAGCAGGACACGACTGGACACAGCGTGGTGCTCACACACCTCCTGGCCAACTGAACTGTCGCGTGGAGCCGTTTAATTCCCACCTGCAGGTGCTGGAGTCTGAAATGTTTGATGCTGACTGTGAGTGAGTGTAGCCGGACCAGGCCAACCTCTGTGACAGATTAGTGAGGATGCCCTCATTTATCAGCTTACAGCTGGTCCAAAAAGCCCAGAAAATTGGCTGCTTCTAAGTAACTCATCCACACACGAGGCAGACGTGGAGGGTTCTAGCACTGATTCTTGCCAGTGTTCAGATTTGTGCCGTGATCCTCTGCGAACTCC